GAGTGTGCTTTACTCTTACTAATGGATAGCATTTGTGCATTACTCTTGATAATGGATAGCATTTATTAAGCATCTATGTGCCAACATATTTTGTCAAGACTGCTTTGGCACACTTAAGTTCCACAACAACCCCATGAGATCAGAATTAATATTATCTTCATTTTACAGATAAAGAAACTGAGCCTCAGTTAAAAAGTGGCAAAACTACGATGCAGTCCAGCTGTTTGGCTCCCAAACCTGCATTCTTTACTCTGTTATGCTGCCTCCTTTCAAACTGTTTCCCTCCATCACTCATAACTTTAACCTTTGTTAATTTATCCAGAAAACATTTAATAGACACCTACTATCTATCACTGCTAGGCACTGGGATGGAAAAGACAAATATGACACAGACCCTACCCATCAGACGGTTACAGCTTGTTAAGAAAGATAATCACAGAAACAAGGACTTATGATGCAGTGAAACACAAAAATAGAAGCACATGTGTACCAAGTGCAGCTTTAACCTTTAAAAATGACTTAAAATGTTGTATGTCATTTTTTAAAAAGTAATATGCTATTTCCGCAATAATTAAGTTTCTTGAAACTTATGACAAACCTAACAGGACAGAGTGAGTTTAGTTTAGGCCAAAACAGAGAGAGAAAAGAACTCATATAACTACTTGGACATTTTCCCCTTCTTGTGCAGATTCTTTCCTAAAACCATTTCCCCTGTTGGATGTTAAGAAAAACATCCTTAAGAACTGCATCAGGACAGCTCAGAGGTTCTACTTGTAGCTCTTTCGATATGAACAATCATGGTAACGGGGATGCAAGAGCATGGAAACAAGTTCCCATTCCAACCAGATGGAAAAACTGTGTCCCCGCTGTCTCACCTGAGTGCCTGGGACAGCCATCTGTTACAACAGAATTTCTCCTCATAACCTACCTTCTCATTTTCCCAGGAAAAGAGATGCCAAAAGGCAAACCCCAGTGGAAAAACATTTGCACAAAATGTGAAGGAAAGAATTCACATCTTTAACATATTAAGAGCCTAATAAACGTTCATATCTTTGATCCAACAATCCTACCTCTAAGAATACACCCAAAGGAAATAGTGAGGAATTCAAACTAAGGGTTATGCACCAAGAGGTTCATGATAGCATATAATAAAGGAAAACTGAAATAAACTAAGTAAATAATAAACTAAATGAATTTGGGGCATCCACTACAATGTATACATGCATGGGAATTCAAAGAAAACTGGCAGGAAAACACACGAGAGGTATACAAGGGAATCATTTCAGTGTCGGGAAATATGAGAACTGCTGTTTATTGGATTCTTATCTCAATTTTTTAAAATGTCTATTTCAGGCATATGTTTTGTAATGTGTTAACTATAAATATATATGTGGCCGGCACAAACTTTGTTTCCTGACATGAGTTTGCTACCAGTCATGTTTGGAGGCAATTGCTCTAGTCTAGAGCATATTCACATAGGCCACTCCAGCTGCTCTGGCAACAGCTTTTCCCAAGAAACAGAGGCAGCCGGGGACGGTATGGATGTTATGGGCCTTGTCCAAAAGGCTAGCAATATCACAGACACTCTACTTTGTGCAAGGAAGCCTATCATAACCTGTAATTACAGTTTGCTGGATGTTACGAGTTCTCCCCAATGGGCCCTGACTCAAAAAATAGCCAAAAGGTGGATGAAATCCAAGTGCACACATTCCAGTGGTCAAGCGTTAAAACAGAGCAGGGCAAGGAAGACTAAGACTTTAACTGAAACCCTGTGACCTCAGGACTACATCTCTATAGTGATTCCTGAAGGCACAGCACACCTACAGTCCACCCGAGGTGATGCATGTTCTTTTTGAGTTTCTAAAACATCTGTCCTAACTTTCATCCAAAAGAACCAAGTTCCAGGGATCGTCTTTAATTAAGTTAAATCCATTAATCCTGATCATCTCGCCAGATGGTCAGAAAAGAGTGCACACACACACAAACAAATGGAGGCTCCCCTGTTGGCCAGGGTCCTTGGCTAAAAGCCTGGCTTAACTGCTCCTAGAACAGTGGTTCTCAACCTTCTGGGCCTTTAAATACCGTTCCTCATGTTGTGACCCAACCATAAAATTATTTTCGTTGCTACTTCATAACTGTAATGTTGCTACTGTTATGAATCGTAATGTAAATATCTGATATGCAGGATGGTCTTAGGCGACCCCTGTGAAAGGGTCCTTCGACCGCCAAAGAGGTTGTGACCCACAGGTTGAGAACCGCTGGTCTATATGAAATGGAATCAAGAAAGTAGACATTGTTCAGTCCTGGCCAGTGTGGCTCAGTTGGTTGACTATCATCCCAGGCACCAAAAGGTTGCTGGTCAATTCCCGATCAGGGCACACACCCAGTTTATGGGTTCCATCCATGGTCGGGGTACATACGAGAGGCAACTGATTGGTATTACTCTCTCACATCAATGTTTCTCTCTCTCTCCCTCTCCCTTCCTCTCTCTCTAAAACCAATAAAAACATATATAAAAGTAAATAAGTGAATAAATAAAATACTTAAGAATGTCCATAAGAGTATAAACTGGAGGCTGCTAGCAGCCGTCTTTCCCACCTTGTGGAGAGTATACCTATCAATAATGCCAACACAGAGAACGCCAGGAGATGGATCCAGCCATGCCTGAAGCTAGCCAGATATACCCTCAAATTCAAGAGTTAATAAATTACCTTATTTCTTAATCTAGATTAAGCTGCTCCCCCCCCACCCCAACACATAACAGAAAGAATTCTAACTAATACATATTTAGTAGATTGGGGACAGACACTACTAGGAGTATCTCAGAGGCTCTGTTCAACTTTAAAATGGCCTTATTCTTTTACCTTTGCCATAAGTCTTGCATTTCTGCATATTGAAACAAAGTGATAAGAGGACCCACCCACAAAGAATAGCCTGGCAGGAAATGGGAGGTTATCACAAATGAAACATCTTTCCTCGCCAACAAAACAGTTGTTCTTTTAAACTTTGAATGCCCTTTAAAAATGTGACCATCAACAACAAGTGAAAGCCAATTTATACAAAGTAATCTGTACCTTATGAACATCAGAAATATCATAAAGTATATGTATATTAAGTTAAAGATCTAAATGGCTTTATTCAACAGTTCATGAATCGGGCAGCAGCATCCCATCTACTAAATAGAAATTACCAAACATAGCCTAAAGAAACAGTAAAATGCAATATAAATCTTTTCTACCATCCTAGTACATGTAGGCAAAGTAACGACAGGAATTTTTAAATGAATGTTTTAAAATATAGGTTCTGATCATGTCATTTCATTTTTAGCCACCTGACCCTTTTTAACTGGATAGGTCTCTACCCACTATATCTCCTAGGACTACCTCTCACTTCGAAGGCAAGGAGGCAGGAAGATTTTTCCACCAGGAGAAAAGTAGAGCCTGGTGTCAGAGCCCCAGACTTCGGGGCCCAGACAAATCACAATGCCTTCCCAGCTCAGGTTACTGATTCCCTCTCCTACTAACAAAAATAAGGAGGGCCCAGAATGCCTGCTCCTTTTTTCCTGTATTAACTTAATGTATATTTAACCTAACACGTTTTAATTTAGTGCATTTAAATTTTTTGCATGTAAGTCTTAAGAGTTGCAATTGTTGATTAGAAATTATTTTTCTTTTTTTAAGTTTTATTTTATGGTTAACAGTATTACAGATGTCTCCAATTTTCTCCCTTTTTGCCCCCCACCACCCAACCCCCAACCTACCCCAGGTCTTCCACATGCCATTGTCTGTGTCCATGGGTTATGCATATATACATATATGTTCTTTGATTAATCTCTTTATATTTTTCATTTTTAAGATTACTGCCAGGGTCATCATATTTGACAAGTTACCAAATTCAGCAAACATGTTAATAAACAGTCATTATCGGGCACCCAAAGTCCAACCTGACCATCCATTTCCATGGGAATTCCAGACAAATCCATCTTATTAATAAGACCTCTGCACAGTGGAGCTTTCCTTGCTAGCATCTGGCGTTCCCTCCATGCTAAAGAAAGGACTTGACTAAGCCTGGGCAGATAAGCAGGCTCTTAATCACTTTCTGTTGATGAGGCACTATGCCAGAGGGCCAACCGTGAAGGTAGAGCAGTCTTTTCTATCAAATGTGTTCACGAGCTCCACAATACTTTTAAGCAAACACTGACAGAAAACCTAATGATAAATTCATAGACCCTGAGCTCCTAGCTTTTGCCAGCATCCTTCACCCCACCTGCAGATCTTAGAAAAAGAGTAGACTTTATCTTTGGAATTGACCAATCCAAGTTTCTTACAGTACTAAAAGTGGACTCAGAGAGTCTTCTCTCCCTAGATGACCAAGTGGGCTCATTATTTGTTTATTCCTCGTATGTCTCTAGAGCCATCTTTCTTTTAAGGTCTCTCAGCTGGACATGTAGCTTGCACAGCCCGTTACCAAGGCTCCTCAGCCTTTTACCCAACAGATAGTCAGAGGAGGAGGAAGAAGGGTGGAACAGGACAAACCCAGACCAGCTGAAGAGATGAAACACATCCTATGTAATAAAAGGGTAATATGCAAATCGACCGAACAGCAGAATGACAAGTCACTATGATGCGCACTGACCACCAGGGGGCAGACACTCAATGCAGGAGCTGCCCCCTGGTGATCAGTGTGCTCCCACAGTGGGAGCTCCGCTCAGCCACAAACCCGGCTGAGCAGAGCTCAGCACTAAGGATGTTCTACTGCGGCCTTGGCCAGTCAGACATCCCCCCGAGGGCTCCCGGACTGTGAAAGGCCGGGCTGAGGAACCCCCCACCCCTGTGCATGAATGTCGTGCCCCAACTGGGCCTCTAGTTTGATAGAAAAGACTGCTCCACCTTCACAAAGGTGGCTGGCCAGAAGAAGCTCTTGAAATAGGGGAGGGTCTCCACAAAAGGGCTTTGATCTTTGAGTCCTTTCAGCCCGGCTGGTCCTCCCCACACACTGCTGTCTCCCATGAAAGCACCCAGAGTCCAAAAAAAGGGAAGACAGTCATGTGTCTTATATATGACAGGCCCTCAACAAATACCTGCTGAATTGAACTGAATAGAATTCATTCAGAGTCTGCACCCCTACTCAGCATCCATCAAACCTAGAATGATCCAACTTTTCCCTGACACTAGATGCTACCTGACTGTAATTATCGGTTTGAGGAAATCAGATAGTGGACTTTATCCTATAATAATTGTTATAATGGCTATCATTTAGTGAACACTTACCATATAATAGCTACCATTTAGTGCCAAGTGCTTTTTGCTAAGTGTTTTAGTCATTAACTCATTTAAGCATTCCAATAGTGGCTGCTCCAATATTTGCTACATAAGAATGTTTTAGGGGTAATATCTGATTGGAAAGGGGTGATGGAATGGCTCACCATGAAGCTCATCAGCATAGCCATTTTTACATAAAAAATTGACAAAATGCCAATTGTCTACATCAAGAAATGGGGGTGTTGCTGAAAAAAAAATTATATAGAGGTCAATCCCCCTCCAATCATTCCCTTGGTGCTACAACGAAGTAGACTTTATTATTCCCATTGTACAGATGGAGATACTGAGGCTTTCAGCAGTTGGAGAACTTGCTTAGAGCCACATAGATAATATATGCCCAGACCATAGCCCAAGCCTCTCTACCTCCAAGCTATAAATGTATAGTTGCTTAGTCATACTCAGAGGAAGTAAAAGAAATTTATAGACTTTATTTGAAGAAATAGCTTTTGTTATTGTTGTTTTTAGACTAAGGTCAGGAAAAAATGTAAAAGTTTTTTTAAAAGAAGTAAAATGAAGTAAACATTGCTGACTAACTTTTAGAGACTTTTATGGAAAATAATGTTCTGGAGGTACAGTAAAAAGGTGGTTTCATTCAAAATAAAAATGCCCCCCCCCCCAAAGCCAACCTCACAGAGAATTCTATCCTATGAAAAAAACACCTAAGAGATACTGCAGAGAAAAGACAATCCTTAGCACGTGGGCAATGGCCACTGTCATCTGAAAAGGGACACAGTACTGCACGGTAAGTGGAGTCAGCCAGACCTGAACACACAATCTGGCTCTTTCACTTTCTAATTTTGGGACTTCAGATCAAGTACTTAGCCTCTCTGAGCCTCAACGTCCTTACCTTTAACAATGAGCACACTATTTTCTTCATTATAAAATTACTGTGCAGATGAATAGGATAATTCATTCATTCAGCAATGATTTGTTTAACATCCATGTGTGCCAGGCTCTAGCCTCTCACTGAAATAATGAATGTAAGTAGCTTTCCTCTGTACCTAGCACATTAATAACTACTCAAAAGCTGTTATTCTATCTCCTTATGAAAACAAAAGAAACATGGACAAATATGATAAAATTGCATTCCATTCCATGGCTCATTACTGTAGTGCCAGGGCTCTTGTTCCAGCATCTAGAAGGGTCCAGCAATCTGGAGAAGGGTTGTGTGTAACAAAGAGTCCAGAGACGAAGCATAATTCTGAAAGGCATTTGGGAGTCAGGGGAGCTTAGCTAAAGAAACTAAGATCTCCTCATCTCAGGATCCTTTGCTTTTTATTAACACAATTTGTCCTAAGGTGAGGTGGAGATATACACTTCAAAGGGTAGGGTTAGGTACAGAACCCATTGTCAGATAGGGGGAATTAGCCTACAGCTGTTCAGGTGTTTGGCCAGTAGAAGGCAATAACATGTAGATTAAGATGCCCTGAGCTGTCTGGCAGCTAAGCAATCATCCCTTTTCAGGTTTGGGGAAATGCCCTCAGCCATTCCCAACAGGTGACAACACATGTGACTCAGCCCTTGTTGAGTCCCCAAGTTCCATCAACCTTTTTATGAAACTCTTGCAATTATGACATGCTGGAATTGGCTTCCGGCACTGTAGAGCCTTGGGTCAAGTACATTCCTAAAAGGCCAGGCATCATAGGGTAAAGTGTGGTTACTCATTGTGAATACCAAACAGTTGTGGATGCTGCCCACACCCCTGCCAGGATGAGGAAGTAGAGAAGGAAGAAGGGATCTGGTGGCTTCCTTACTACCTCCTGCCCTCCCACACGCAGGAGCCAGGGCCATGGCCAACACCCACACTTCTCTTCTGCTCCATGGTTCTGCCAGGGCGATGGAAGAGCTGGCTGCAGGTTTGTTCTGGCTGCACTGGCATTCCAGCAGGGGCAGAAAGAAAGGGGAAGTTGATAGGGGTGTATGGGAGACCAGTCCTACCACAGCAAGCGTACCTCATCAGCCTGGTCCAGGTCCTTCAGGTGCAGGTATTGAGTGAGGTACTCCACAATGCGCACATTACTGCTCTGAGCTGTGAAGTGAAGGGCAGCCATTCCATCCTGAGGACAGCCAGGATAGAGGAGGTAATCACATAGTGATCTCAAGATCTCCCCTTCCTGCACTGTGAGGTGAGAGCTTATGTCCAGGAGTGACCCACAAACCGACCTGACTCATGGCTCTCTGGTCTGCTCCAGCTCTAACCAGCATGAGCATGATTTCGAGGCCTCCAGACCAGGCTGCAAGGTGAATTACTGTCAAGCCATGCTTTCCCAAGAAGAGAGAAGAAAAGAACACATGTGAAGTCACCAAAAGCCAAGTTAATAGTCAACTGTTGAAAAGTGAGAAATGGAGAGAATTTCATATACAGCAAAGATGATATTTCATTTCTATGGGGAAAACAAATAAATGGTGCAGGCACCAGTGGTTCTCTATCTGGAAGAAAATAAAATTAAGTCCTATATCTTATCACAAACACACAAAAGCACACAAACAATAAATACCTTAGACTGCAATGTACAATATCTTAATCCAGAAGTTATAAAAGGAAAGACTGTTGGTAAACAAAGTCCATAACAAAGGATTGATTCTCTAAATGTTTCTTAATAAAGATAAATGGTTACTTTCTCTAATATATAAGCACTCTTGCAAATCAACAAGAAAAAGACAATTAAACCAATTGAAAAGTGAACCAAAAAAGGTATCAGCGGAAAATGAAGCCATTATGTTTAAGCAATCTGTCAATCTCTATTAAAATTGTAAAATACAACCAGCAATCCCACTCCTGGGAATCTATCCCATGAAAATAAGTTTTAAGACCTAATGTTATATCAACAAGGATATTAATTTCAACCCTTAAAATTGGGAGCAAGTCAAATGTCTATCAATATAGGAATGTTGAACAAAGTAGGGAACACATCATGCAGCCATTAAAAACCGTGAATTAGAGCTACAACAATTGACTTGGAGTGCTTTCCATGAGGTAGCTGTTAAAATGTACAAAATAAGATGCAGATAAAATATAACATAATCCCATTTTTATAAAACAAGCAATGACCAGAAAAACTCATATGTGTATATGTAGATACCGTTGGTCCTTCATATCTGCAGGTTCCACATCTCTGTATTCAACAAACTATAAATTTAAAACATTTGGATAAAAAATATTACATTGTTGCTGATGTGTATTATGCAGTTAGGCCTACATAGTCTATTTAAATATTTATAGTTCCAGTATAAAGAAAATGTTTACCAATTTCTGTACTCTTTTCCTCAAAGAACAACATGTACAATAACTAGTTGAGGTTCTTCAAGAAATGTGCCCTAAACACAGTTCCTCCCATTAATTTACAATTAATGCTTTATATTCAATAGCACTAAGTCCAGTTTCACATATGGTCAAAAAAAGAGGTCAGAAATATTTGGGATAGAGGATAAATCACATTTTGATAGGAGCTCAAAATTTCCCTAAAAGGTCACTCCTAATTTCCAATCCACCAACACTTAAAGATTTCAAACACTGACCATAAATCCAAAAGCCAAGAATTCAAGCTGCAAACAACTTGAGTCTCAGAAGCCATAAATTCGGAGTGGAACCACTGTTCCTCAGAGGCAAAGAATCGCAGCTCACAGATGTTAATCCCCCCAGGAGAACCGCCATAAAACTAAGTCTGGTACTATCAAACTGACATGCCTGAGGCAGTTTAGGAGCACGTGTCCTGGATTACCGTCACTGTCAGAACACGATGCTCTGTACAGTATGAAATGCCCACACCACTAACAACCTGTCCTCATCACCAGTCTGGTCATAGGTGAGAAGGTCAACTTCCCCCAGGAACATTTGCTGAGCAGTTTCCCAGAAAAAGAAGCTCTGAGAGCAGATGATGGTCATCATTCTCTGAGCATCATGTGCCCTCCACCCGGGATCCTCTGCTCACATCTGCAAGAAGAGCTTCCTTTTACCTATTCTGCCTCTTCCCAAGACTCCGGAATGCTACCCACGTTGAACCTGGAGTCCTCAGCACGTGGGCTATGCATCTGATCCTTGTCATGCAGTGCCTCAAATGGTGCACATCTGTTACAGTCCTGGTCCTTGCTCCCCCAGGAGGTTACAGGCCCCTCAAAGCAGGGACTGTATCTCATGCCAGTCCTTCCAGACCCCCCTCTTCCCAAGACTCCGGAATGCTACCCACGTTGAACCTGGAGTCCTCAGCACGTGGGCTATGCATCTGATCCTTGTCATGCAGTGCCTCAAATGGTGCACATCTGTTACAGTCCTGGTCCTTGCTCCCCCAGGAGGTTACAGGCCCCTCAAAGCAGGGACTGTATCTCATGCCAGTCCTTCCAGACACAATCACCTGGGGATCCTGCTAAATCACAGATTCTAATTCAAAAGGTGAAGGGTGGGCCTGAGAGTTTGCATTTCTAAGAAGCTCCCAGGTGATACCCGTGCTTCTGGTCCAGGACCACACTTTGAGTAACAAGAACTTGTATCTAGTTGAATCCCCAGAAGTTGGCATTGAGACTTACCCACAACAAGCCCGAGAAAATACTGATGGTGAAGAGCTTCAATTATTGACTCTTTGCAAATAGGTGTTAGAAGTTACAAAACAGATTTGCCAAGTCAAAGTCAGGGATTCTCAACTGAATAAAGAAGCTGCCAGGTTTGACCAAACATGGCATTGCTTGAATTATAAAAATTATCTTATTAGTTATATACTCATGCCACTGTAATTAAATTAGTTATAGGAATATTTAACTTAGTGAACCTGTCAAGGCAGAGTAGAGTGACACATCATAAATTACTATACCTTTTGCCTAACAGCACTTCAGTCTCATAAAGCAAATTACAAGAAGCTTCCAAATGGGAAAAGTCTCAAATAGAATAAGTTGGTAAAATATTTTGTGAATAATTGATTTATACTCTGACATAAACCAGTAGTATATTTAATATATTAGAAACACGGTGTTTAAAAGAAAAATGCGCCGAAGCCGGTCTGGCTCAGTGGATAGAGCGTCGGCCTGCGGACTGAGAGGTCCCGGGTTCGATTCCGGTCGGGGGCATGTGCCTGGGTTGC